AGTGGCTGCACATGTATCAGTGGCTGCACATGTATGAGTGGCTGCACATGTATGAGTGGCTGCACATGTATGAGTGGCTGCACATGTATCAGTGGCTGCACATGTATCAGTGGCTGCACATGTATCAGTGGTTGCACATGTATGAGTGGCTGCACATGTATGAGTGGCTGCAGGACAGTGGACCGGCTGATGGGCAGACTTGGCAAGCAGCTTAGGTTGTAGATGGGGGATGGGTTGCGGGACGTTCTTCGGGATTGAAGGGTGTTTTGCCGGTTACACTCTCAGATCCCGCCGCTGCAACCAGCATGTGACGGGTTACACGCTCCGCCGGACCAGCAGACTGAGCGCAAGACTGAGCCCTCTATACACAGAAGCTGCCACACCCAGACAGGAAGGTAACAGAGTTTACAATAGAGGAAGTCTCTATCAGTCGCTGCAACACCCAGACAGGAAGGTAGCGTAGTTTATGATACAGAGGAAGTCTCTATCAGTCGCTGCCACACCCAGACAGGAAGGTAACGGAGTTTACAATAGAGGAAGTCTCTATCAGTCGCTGCCACACCCAGACAGGAAGGTAACGGAGTTTACGATACAGAGGAAGAGATTTTTTTATTTCTAAGTACGATGCAAGAAAATATTTACAGAATAAAATGATACAAAACAGACAATAAGTAACAGGAGACAAAGGGGGAGGAGTGGAAGATGGGTCAGTACAATTCTGTTGCTCTTTTGTCTGATATGAGAGCCACGGGCCCTCATCAATGACTCTCAGCATTCCTTCCATGGGGACGGGGGCTCAGAGCTGCGAGAGCCCACGTACGTGGTCCCTGAAAAGGACGATTATTGCATTACCACAACCGAAGGATGGGAAGGGTCTCCTGAGGGGGGTTGTACTATGTTCCAGCAGACGCTGCCAATTGTTCCAAGTACACTGCCGGGCCAAAGAAAAGTCCCCACCTGGACTCCGAGCCGTGTCATGATCTGCGGTGGCTTCATGTGGTCAGGTCTGGCTGGCTCAGCAACGTTATGTCCCCAATAAATGAGGTCAGCTCCCTCCCCGAATATACCGAATGACGCGGATCTTCCATCAATGGACTTCTTCCTCCCTGGTGGCACATTGGACATATTCCGGGATCCACCGGGTTCAGATTGTGGCAGAGTGGCTCAGGCAGCATGAGACGTCACACGTGGATTGGCCACCACAGAACCCCATGGAGGATCTTCGGGATGTTCTGGAGACTTCACGCCGCGCTCCGACTCTCTCGTCATCACGACCAGATCTCCATGACACATGAATACAACTCCGGACAGAAATCAATGTTGTCACTTTGTATAAGATTATCGAGACCGTGCCACGGGAAGTGCGTGCCGTATGGTGGACCAATGAAATAGTAGCACGTGACTTCATTTTGTGGACAGACCGCGTATATCTCTATTTCCATCTGACAACCAACATATGATTCATACCGGAATACATGAAGGTGTCATGACATAGATCCCGTGTCTGTGTGTCTTAGGAGGTCCACGTCTGCAAAGGGCAGTAGAGGTGTGTTTGTTCTCTGACTGGTTGGAATTCTCTGATACATCAGTGTGACCACGTTTCGTGAATGTAACTCCATTGCTGGAGAGGTTCTGGAATAGGAGTCAGACGTACAGACGCGTGTTGTAGAACGTAGTACTGACATTCGGAGCCACGAAGGGGTTTTGCAGATCCTGAGATTTGGTGGATTCCTCTCTAGTGATCGTCATTGTGCCACCTTCTCTTAAATCTGACCGCCCCTCCCCCCACCATGGGGACACTGAGGGTGCCACTGCTGCAGGAGGACTTTGTCCCACACACTTTCTATGGTCACATGGGTGATGGGGGAGGAGAGCTCTATACATATCATGGGGGGGTCACGAGTCTTCCACACATAATGATTTCCTTCCTACACTCAGATGATCAGCGGAGGAGCTGTGTGTGTGTCTGCTCAGTGAATGTGACGTGGACCTTTCACGTGGCTGCTGGGATACAGAAAATACAAAAACGTAGAGAATAACCGTCACCACACGTCACAAAACGGACCACGGTCCCTTCTAGAACCAGGCGGGGGGAATGGGCCACACTTCCTTCTAGAACCAGGCGGGGGGAATGGGCCACACTTCCTTCTAGAACCAGCCAGAGGAAATGGACCACGCTCCCTTCTAGAACCAGGTGGGGCTAATGGGCCACACTTCCTTCTAGAACCAAGGCGGGGGGAATGGGCCACGCTCCCTTCTAGAACCAGCCGGGGAAATGGACCATGCTCCCTTCTAGAACCAGCCGGGGGAAATGGACCACGCTCCCTTCTAGAACCAGGCCGGGGGAAATGGACCACGCTCCCTTCTAGAACCAGGCGGGGGAATGGGCCACGCTCCCTTCTAGAACCAGCCGGGGGAAATGGACCACGCTCCCTTCTAGAACCAGGCGGGGGGAATGGGCCACGCTCCCTTCTAGAACCAGCCAGAGGAAATGGACCACGCTCCCTTCTAGAACCAGGTGGGGCTAATGGGCCACACTTCCTTCTAGAACCAAGGCGGGGGGAATGGGCCACACTTCCTTCTAGAACCAGCCAGAGGAAATGGACCACGCTCCCTTCTAGAACCAGGTGGGGCTAATGGGCCACACTTCCTTCTAGAACCAAGGCGGGGGGAATGGGCCACGCTCCCTTCTAGAACCAGCCGGGGAAATGGACCATGCTCCCTTCTAGAACCAGCCGGGGGAAATGGACCACGCTCCCTTCTAGAACCAGGCCGGGGGAAATGGACCACGCTCCCTTCTAGAACCAGGCGGGGGAATGGGCCACGCTCCCTTCTAGAACCAGCCGGAGGAAATGGACCACGCTCCCTTCTAGAACCAGGTGGGGGGAATGGGCCACGCTCCCTTCTAGAACCAGGCGGGGGGAATGGGCCACGCTCCCTTCTAGAACCAGGCCGGGGGAATGGGCCACACTTCCTTCTAGAACCAGGCGGGGGGAATGGGCCACGCTCCCTTCTAGAACCAGCCGGGGAAATGGACCACGCTCCCTTCTAGAACCAGCCGGGGGAAATGGACCACGCTCCCTTCTAGAACCAGGCGGGGGAATGGGCCACGCTCCCTTCTAGAACCAGCCGGGGGAAATGGACCACGCTCCCTTCTAGAACCAGGCGGGGGAATGGGCCACGCTCCCTTCTAGAACCAGCCGGAGGAAATGGACCACGCTCCCTTCTAGAACCAGGTGGGGGGAATGGGCCACGCTCCCTTCTAGAACCAGGCGGGGGGAATGGGCCACGCTCCCTTCTAGAACCAGGCCGGGGGAATGGGCCACACTTCCTTCTAGAACCAGGGGGGGGGAATGGGCCACGCTCCCTTCTAGAACCAGCCGGGGGAAATGGACCACGCTCCCTTCTAGAACCAGGCGGGGGAATGGGCCACGCTCCCTTCTAGAACCAGCCGGAGGAAATGGACCACGCTCCCTTCTAGAACCAGGTGGGGGGAATGGGCCACGCTCCCTTCTAGAACCAGGCGGGGGGAATGGGCCACGCTCCCTTCTAGAACCAGGCGGGGGGAATGGGCCACACTTCCTTCTAGAACCAGGCGGGGGGAATGGGCCACGCTCCCTTCTAGAACCAGCCGGGGGAAATGGACCACGCTCCCTTCTAGAACCAGCCGGGGGAAATGGACCACGCTCCCTTCTAGAACCAGGCCGGGGGAAATGGACCACGCTCCCTTCTAGAACCAGGCGGGGGAATGGGCCACGCTCCCTTCTAGAACCAGCCGGGGGAAATGGACCACGCTCCCTTCTAGAACCAGGCGGGGGGAATGGGCCACGCTCCCTTCTAGAACCAGCCAGAGGAAATGGACCACGCTCCCTTCTAGAACCAGGTGGGGCTAATGGGCCACACTTCCTTCTAGAACCAAGGCGGGGGGAATGGGCCACACTTCCTTCTAGAACCAGCCAGAGGAAATGGACCACGCTCCCTTCTAGAACCAGGTGGGGCTAATGGGCCACACTTCCTTCTAGAACCAAGGCGGGGGGAATGGGCCACGCTCCCTTCTAGAACCAGCCGGGGAAATGGACCATGCTCCCTTCTAGAACCAGCCGGGGGAAATGGACCACGCTCCCTTCTAGAACCAGGCCGGGGGAAATGGACCACGCTCCCTTCTAGAACCAGGCGGGGGAATGGGCCACGCTCCCTTCTAGAACCAGCCGGGGGAAATGGACCACGCTCCCTTCTAGAACCAGGCGGGGGGAATGGGCCACGCTCCCTTCTAGAACCAGCCAGAGGAAATGGACCACGCTCCCTTCTAGAACCAGGTGGGGCTAATGGGCCACACTTCCTTCTAGAACCAAGGCGGGGGGAATGGGCCACACTTCCTTCTAGAACCAGCCAGAGGAAATGGACCACGCTCCCTTCTAGAACCAGGTGGGGCTAATGGGCCACACTTCCTTCTAGAACCAAGGCGGGGGGAATGGGCCACGCTCCCTTCTAGAACCAGCCGGGGAAATGGACCACGCTCCCTTCTAGAACCAGCCGGGGGAAATGGACCACGCTCCCTTCTAGAACCAGGCCGGGGGAAATGGACCACGCTCCCTTCTAGAACCAGGCGGGGGAATGGGCCACGCTCCCTTCTAGAACCAGCCGGAGGAAATGGACCACGCTCCCTTCTAGAACCAGGTGGGGGGAATGGGCCACGCTCCCTTCTAGAACCAGGCGGGGGGAATGGGCCACGCTCCCTTCTAGAACCAGGCCGGGGGAATGGGCCACACTTCCTTCTAGAACCAGGCGGGGGGAATGGGCCACGCTCCCTTCTAGAACCAGGCGGGGAAATGGACCACGCTCCCTTCTAGAACCAGCCAGGGGAAATGGACCACGCTCCCTTCTAGAACCAGGCCGGGGGAAATGGGCCACGCTCCCTTCTAGAACCAGGCCGGGGGAAATGGACCACGTTCACTTCTAGAACCAGGCCGGGGGGAATGGGCCACGCTCCCTTCTAGAACCAGGCCGGGGGAAATGGACCACGTTCACTTCTAGAACCAGGCCGGGGGAATGGGCCACACTTCCTTCTAGAACCAGGCGGGGGGAAATGGACCACGTTCACTTCTAGAACCAGGCCGGGGGAATGGGCCACACTTCCTTCTAGAACCAGGCGGGGGGAATGGGCCACGCTCCCTTCTAGAACCAGGCGGGGAAATGGACCACGCTCCCTTCTAGAACCAGCCAGGGGAAATGGACCACGCTCCCTTCTAGAACCAGGCCGGGGGAAATGGGCCACGCTCCCTTCTAGAACCAGGCCGGGGGAAATGGACCACGCTCCCTTCTAGAACGAGGCCGGGGGGAATGGGCCACGCTCCCTTCTAGAACCAGGTGGGGGGAATGGGCCACGCTCCCTTCTAGAACGAGGCCGGAGAATGGAAGACGGTCCCTTCTCGTATTTGATAGAAGGGAGATTACGGACTGACTCCTGTGAAAAGCCACGTGTGGGTTCTGGTGATGATACGATCCGTGGGACCGCACAGTCTGATTTTTTTACACATATTTCAAAAATATTTTCATTTTGTAGGAAAAGTGACGATAAAAACGACAGAACTCCCTCCACGAAGCCACGGCCTCCGGAGGGGAACACACAGTGATTGATCTTCCTCTGATGATGACATCACATCTTCACGTGACCAAACACACCCACGGGGAACTGCTTGACGTGAGTTGGCCACTGAGCGGCCAGCTGGAAGAACTTGACATCGTTCCACTCCACCCCGTCTATGGTGACTGCAAAACATGAGAATGAGAAGAGGTCAGCAGAGGGCACAATGATACCACCACGAGGCCACGTCACGTGTCTTCTCACCTCGCAGCATGGTGTTCTGGTTCTTGGCCGTGCAGATGAGGCGGCTGATCCCCTCGATCACCTGACTGCGAGATTCCGCTTCCTTCTCTTTGGGCTTCTTACTCAGGAACATGACTAGGAGAGGAGAGAAGACACGAGGCCCGCCGTCATATCCACAATCAATGCCACGTGTTACCTGCGGGGGGTGGGGGAGGTGGAGACTCTGGGACAGGACACGGGGAGGAAGATCCTCACCCGCCCGGAGACAAGGAAAGTGAACATTATGCTTCCCATTGTCCCGAAGTTCATCAGTTTTGACCTCTTCACCACAAGAACACCCCGGATGAGGGAGCCACGGGAGGACTGCAGAAGTGGGGGGGGGAGGGGCAATAAAGAGGAGGCCACCATTTATGTAGATGTGGTGACCTCCTTCCC